CAGTTTTCTGGAAATCTTTACAAAGTTAGTGGTGGTAATATTCTAGATTTTGGTAGTGTCCATTATGATTTCACCATTTTCATTTTAATTTCATTGATTTGAGTTTTTTCTCTCCTGTTTGGAAGATTGGCTAACAGTTTGTTCATTTGAAAAGCCACCTCTGATTTTTTAAATATATTTTATGAGATTTCTTTGATTTCTGTTCTGAGCTTTATGATTTCCTTCCTCATATTAGAAGTGGATTTGGATGTTCATCTGATCTTGTGTGTGCAGTAATGTTTGTTTGATGCAGTTGAGTGTGCTGTTGTTCGGTGCATGTTTATAACTGTTCTCTCAAGTATTCCATTAACCAATGTGTAATGACCATCTTTACCTTTTCTGATCAGTTTTGGCTGAAGTGCACTGTGTCTGAATAGAGGGTTGTTACTTCTATTTGTTTCTGGGTTCTCATTCCATCGAATATTGTTTTCCATTCTTTGATTTTTTATTATGAATTTCTTTTTGGGTTAAATGTTTCTTGTTTACAGCACGCCACTGGATTTTGTTTCTTAATCATTTTGCCAATCTGTTTTAGGATGTGAGAATTAAGACCGTTCACACTGAAAGTTATTACTGATAGGTGTTGACATTCCTGTCATTGCATTCTTTCCCTGTTTCTAATTTTCTTTTCCTCTTCTGAATGGCTCACCCTACCTCATGTCGTCATTCTGTTGGGGCTTTTAGCATTCTTAACGTCATTATCTCTTTCTAGAATATCTGTGAGAATTTTTTGGAGAGGTTTTTGGTGGTCACTTTTCTGGGGTAGTCTCTACCACTGAGTTACCTTATTTCTCCACCAACATTGAAAGATAATTTTGTAGAACATATCAGTCTGGGTTAGAGATTTTTGCAAGTGAGGCACTTGAAACATTTCAAGCTTTTTTGACTATAAGAAGTCTGCTGCAATTCTTTCCTTTCTAAGTGATTCACTGCCTTTGCCCAACAGCTGTTAAGATTCTGTTTTTGTGCTGGAGTTCTGGAATTCTGACTGTGCTGTTTTGTGAATAGCTGATTGTGGCTATTTGGATTTCCACGTGCCTTATTTATCTGTTAAAATTTTCCTGTACTTGGAAAATTTTCTATTTCTAAAAACAAGTTTTTATGCCATTTGTGCTGTCTTCAGATTTTTCATTAATTTCAATTAACTGTAGTTTCTCCATCACATAGTAGCTGTTGGATCCACTTTTTTATTCTCTTGTTGTTTTTCAACTATCTTTCAATAATTGATCACTTAGAATGGCCTAAATTTCTAGTTCTAACACTGTTCCTTAGGTTAGTTGCTTTGCGGACCACACTTTCCATAGAATTGTTAATTCACTTGACTTTTTCATGAACTCTTATTCTTTTCTGTGCTGGATATTCACATTTTGCATGTTTATTTATTATTTTTATTTTAAAGAGAATAAAACTAAACAAAGTACAACATAATAGAGCCAATCAAAGCAAAACAATGAAAGTGATACAGGACTTCAAAATCGGGTAATAGGAAATCAACAATGGCTACCATTATATATCTTGTCATCTTCAAAATAGCTGCCCATACCATCAGACAGAACAAAATAAAACAATAAAATCAAAAACAAAACAAAACAATGAAAATGATACAGGACTTCAAAACAAGATAATAGGAAGTTAACAATGGCTATCATAATAAGCCTTTTGTTATCCTCTAAATGTTGCTCAGACCACTGGCTGAGCCAGTGAAACCATAAAAGTATTGTTTCTTTACTTCAGTTGCTATCATCTCAGACTGTGCTCCTCCAAATTAGATGGTTGCTTATGAGGGGGACTCTTCTCCTGGCCCACCTGCCAGCTGGCTCCATACAAGTAAGTGTGGCTTTCTGGTTCTCGCCCAGCCAGCATGATTTGTGCTTACTTACAGTGAGCCTTGGGGTCCTGGTTCTCCCCAGCTGGCATGACTTTTGCTGGCTCACACGGCAGGGCTCAGGGGTTTCCCGTTCTCCCCTGGCCAGTGCAACTGCTGCTGCTTCACGGGGTGGGACTTGAGTTCCTTGTTCTCTCCTAACAGGCACAACTTCCCTGCATCAGTTCATTTAGCATGGTTAGCTTTTTGTTAGTGTTTTCTGTATACATGATGATCATTTTATTAGGATCATTAATGGTTTAGTTATATTTTCACTGAACTTGCCAAGAGTTTCTTGATTTGTATTTTTTGTTTCTTCCTTTCAAATAATTTGACTGTATGACTTTTGATTTCTTCCCCCATCAAAGCCCTATGGATCTGCTCTGGGGAAGCTGGGAATTTGGGGAGGCTTTTCTTTTTTTTTTTTTTTGCTTGTTTTCTCTTGCTTCTGTCTGTTTTCTGTGATGAGGCTTACAGGTTGATTATAGTGGAAGACTTTGTTGCTAGTATGGAGACTCAGTGTCTGCTTTTCAATGGCGCACTCTGGGATTTGGCTAACTGCAGGCCTTTCTCTCTGTCCCAGAATGCCTCCACCTCCACTTATTTGGGAAGTGAAACTGCAGTGTATCTGGCTTAGGATCTAATTCACTGTTAATGACACCGAGGTAATCCAGATACTGGCATACAGAGAAAACAGATTAATAGCAGTAACTTTATCACTTTGGCTATAATAATAAAACCAGCAACAATAGCATGAAAGACAAACTAGATAATGACAAACCCTACAAACCAATAATGTACCATCCTTAACCACAGAAGATGTATGATTACAATATATTCAAACCAAATATTGACCTAAAGTAAATGTAGTAGATGAAACAATTTTTTATTTATTGGTACAATTTAGATTATGTAATGATCATATTCATTATAGGGAATTTGTACCTGTACATGATATATCGTGATTCTTTTTCCCCCCTATTCCCACCATCCTTTCAAACCCGTTTCCCCTCCCCATTCACAAAGCTCTTTTCATTTTATCCTTTTCTCATTTTCTTTTCCTTCTTTCCTTTCCCTCTCCCAACTCCCTAGTTTCCCTTTCCTTTTGAAATTCTTCCTGTTTCACAATATCTATTGTGTATTTGAGTTTTTACATTTTCACTTTCTCACACCAGAGATAAAGCAACATTTACACGTTTCTAATTTATTTCACATGATTATGGTCTCAAGGTCCATCCGTGTAACTATAAATGTTTCCATTTTATCTTTATGGCTGAGTAATATACATGTACATACATACACTTATCCATTCATCAGTTGATGAGTATCTGAGTTGCTTCAAAGATGTAGCTGTTATGAAATGTGATGCGATAAACACGGGTGTTCATGTATTACTGTGGTTAGGATGCTTTTAATTTTCTGGAAATGTACCCAGAAAAGGATAGTTGGGTCAGATGGGACCTCTAATCCTAGTGTGTTGAGGAATCTCCTTACTGCCAGTGGTTGTACCAGCTTTCATTGCCACTGACAGTGGGAAAGTGTTCCTTTCTCCCCAGAGCCCTGCCAGTATTATTTTCTTAATAATAGTCAGTTCTTTCTGCAGTAGAATCTCAGTGTTCTTTTAATGTGCATTTCTTGAATGACCAAATGATACTAAACATTTTTTCATGTATTTATTTGCTGTTTACTTCTTCTGAGAAGTGTGTATTCATCTTAGAGGTCCATTTTTGAATTGTGTCTCTGAATTTGGAGGGTCTGGATTTCAGTTCTTCATATATTCTAAATATTTCTTTTCTGTCTGAAGATCAGCTGGCAAAAATGGTTTCCAACTCTGGGTTGTCTCCACTCTGTTGGTGATTTCTTTTGCAGTGCAAAAGCTTTTTAATAAGACGAGATCACAGTTGTTGACTCTTTGTGGTAATTCCTAGTTGACTGGGGTTTTGTTCATAAAGTCTCACCTGTCTTGAAGAGTTCTGCCTATTCTTTCAGCAGATTTAATGTTTCTGTTTTAATATTTAGATCTCTGGTCCAGTTTGATTTTTAATTGTACAAAGTGATAGACATGAGTCTAGCTTTAGTCTTTGGTGTGTAGAAAGCAGTTTATTACAGGCTAGTTTTTCCAATGAACATACTTAGTTCCTGAATGTGTTTGTAGTTGTTTTTGTACTTTCAGGTCTGTTCTATTAAACCTCAGTTCTGTTTTTTTATTTTTATTTTTTGTCAGTACCATTCTGCTTTTTTCACAATAGCTCTGTAATATAATTTCAGGTCAGGAATTGTGATACCCTTACCTTGACTTTGTTCCCACAACTTTCTTCAATTATAGGTCTATTTTGATTCCAAATGAATTTTAGGAATGTTTTCCTCTAGTTCTGTGAGTTATGGTAATGATATTCTGATTGGGATTGCATTAAATCTGCATAGCAATTTTGGGAGTACAGCCATTTTCACTATACTGGTTCTTCCTACCCTGAAATAAGGGATACCTTTCCATTTTCTTATCCTTTTTGACAGTACTGTGTTTTCAATGTAGAGATCTTTTACTTCCTTTGTTAGATTGAATACTAAGTATTTCCTTTTTTTTTTTTTTTTTTTGATGCTATTGTGAAGGGTGCTGTTTCTCTGATTTCTCTCTGTTTATTGTATGTACAGGAATGCTACTGATTTCTGTGTTGACTTTGTATCCAGCTATGCTACTAAATTTGGTTATTAAATCTGGAAGTCTTTTGGTGGAGTTTTTTGATAATTAAGTAGAGTATCATATCATCTGCAAATAATGATAATTAAACTTCTTTCTTCTTTCCACTGTAAAACCATTCTCGAGACACTCCTGACTCCTGCCCTGTAGCCATGTGAGACTCTGTGGGCCCTCTAAGGCAAATTTCTCAGCTTGTGTCACCGCTGGCTGAGAGAAACAGCTTCGAATCACAGCAGCAGGCAAATCATAAAAGCTACAGCTTCTGGTGACTCTCAGCGCTGCTCTAGCGGGCTTGGGGAGGACTCCTGGAGATGCCTATTCTGCCGTCCTGCCCCACTCTCTCCCAGAATCTGTTTAACACACAGGGCTATAAGATCATAAGAAAGATAGAACCAAAAGTTAAATTCTTGCTGCTTTATTTATAAAACATTTAACAATTGGGATAATATATCAATTTGTTTTAGCACCACATCAAAACAAAGAAACAAGGAATTCTTTAAAATTTTGATTCATTTTCATTACTTTTGAAGAGTAAAAATAATTCAAACTTTTACAATTAAATAAGAAGGATATCCATCCCACACAGTCCAATATCATTTTATGAAGTTCCCCATTCAAGTGTCTTCATGAATTCTTCTTCAGTGAAAGACAGCAACTTGGCAGCTTCAATATGCATCTATTTAAAAATAATCAAAATTATCTGATCTAATATGAAGAATTGAATAAGAGGTGCCTTTTAAACATATACAGAAATGTTATCAAAATACCAGTTCTAAATATGTAATACAATTCCAATAATGATTATATCTCTAATGAAAATTACATTCAGTGATCAACCTATAAACTTTTTTGTCCAGTAACAATAAAGAACCAATTTATTTAAAAAATGGTTCAGTACTTAATACCTGGCTCTTAAAAGGGAAAGGGAGACAGTTATGAATTCATCTCATTACATATTTACAGAGGGGAACAGCAGTGAATTGAAATTAGTGTTCACTCAAGGTTTTTAAAAGTAAGTGGCCCCCAAAGTAGGAGTTGGTATTATGTACATTACAGTTTTGTATATCATATGGCACGGAAGGTCCCATCCTGTGCTTACTCATCCATTTTCCACATAATTTACTCACATGAAAATCCCCATAAACTTAGATGACATTACTATATTACACATACTATATTTCATACATATGATGCATTTTATTTAGAAAAAATTTTGTGTCTGGGGATGTCAAAATAAAAACTAGATATACTTAAAAGACACTAAATGGTAAAATAGTTCAGTTTTTCCAATTTAATATTTATTTGAAGACAAACTCACCTTCTGCCTTTTTAAAATATCAATTAATTTTAATTGTTTCTTGAAACCTATCATTAATTCTCCTTTTTGTTTTTCTAGCTTCTTGTTTTCTGATTTTAACACTTCAATTTTTTTGTTTTCTTCATTTGCTATATCCTACAAAAGGAAGAAGTCACATATATTATTTTTCTGATTTGCAGTTTTTCAGTGAAATTACATCAGTTACTATTTTTAACTCAAATTTTTTTGTGTACTAAAATTTCTTTGCATTACTGAAGTACTATGAGTTTATAGCTTTTTAAAAAAAACTATAACCTGATATTTGACTCTCCTATCTCTCTCATAAAAACAGATAGTTTTAAAATAATGCAGTTATAACTCCAGTACTGCAAATTAACTTGTATCAGGCCACATAATGACCATTGGGTGCTGGATCCAGAGGATTTGGTAGATGCTTAGTCCAAGAAGCTGTAAGTTGTAGAACAAGAATGATCATAGATGCAGTTCCAGTCTGAGACTGAAGGCCTAGATATTTCCCAGAGAGTTACTAGTATTATTCCATGTTCAAAGGATGCAGAAACTGACGTCTGATGTACATAGGAAATGGCGGTAGTAAAAATGCACCAGCTCAAGGAGAATGGAGCTTGTTTAAACTCTTACACCTCTCCCTTTCCTTCTATCTAGGCTGCAAGTCTACTACGTGGTGACACCCACAGCTGAGGTGGATCTTTTCTCCTCGGTTTGCAAACTTATAAATAACTTATGAGAGAAGAAATCAAAGGGAAAATTAGAAAATATCATAAATGGAATAAAAGTTTAAAAAACTGTGGGAAGTACTTAAAGGAATGCAAAAGGGGAAATTTTCAAGATTAAATGCTAATATTAACAAAGAACATTTACACAGTCTCTAATTATTTTTTAAGAAATTGGCAAAAGAATAAAAAATTGAATCCAAAGTCAAAAGAAGGAAATAAACAAAAATCATTATAGAGGAAAACTGAAACTAGAACTAGCAGACATCTAGTAAAGCTGATTAAAAAAAAAAGGATGAAAAATTCCAAAACAAGAATGATGGAGGGAGAAAACCAATAAAAATGTAGGAGGAATATAGAAAGGAAAATACAAAAATAGTATAAAAAGCTTTATGCCAGTAACTTTCAACAACAGATGAAAATGGATAGATTCCTATAAGATCCAAACATCCCAATCAAGAAAATATTTTATAACATTTTAAATATAACAGGATAAATATATAGTATGGTAGCCATTGTAGATTTGCTATTATTTCAAAGTCCTGTATTGCTTTCATTGTTTTGTTTTGATTGGTTTTATTCTGTTTTACTTTGTTTGGTTTTAATTCTCTCTAAAATAAAATAAGTAAAAGGAAATATTGATAACTGTACCATGTTTTGGCCATTCAGGTTGACAGAAAATCAAAATCTAATAATTGATATTTATGAAATGTTCACAAAAGAGTCTCACATGCAAATCCGTATTTGGGCCTTCATTTATTCAACAGATACATAAAGCATGGAATGCTAACCCTCTGCCAAGCACTGGAGACATGATGGTGATCTCTCACTCTGGAACAGTTAGTAACTGTGGTTTGAGAACTGTAGGCAGCAGTTGCACTGGGACCTGGTCACCTGCACATTCCAGCCCTCCAGGTGATCCTGATTTATGCTCAAGTTTGAGGACCACTATCTTATAAAATATCCCTCAATTTATATTAGAAGATTGAGGCACAGAAAAGACTGTAACAGACTTGAGATATTAAAGACACTTTTCTCACTAACTTACTCTTAGAGATTAGAAAAGTATCTGTGATAGAATATGAGACCCATAATGACGTTTTGGTGAAGAACTTAAAATTTCCTCCAAAGAGTTGTGCCATCACCTAATTATGGTAACAGCCCAAGCAGATAATCCCACTTGTTGAAAATGTACTTATTACCAGTGAATACATTTCTTCTGAAAACAGAAATGTTCAACATGACATCAGAATTAAAATTTAAAGCTATTATCTTTGATGTTTGCATAAGATTACCAAAGGTCATCACTACCAAAACTATTCAGTCTTTGCATACCTTATTATTTTGCTTTAATTTATTTAACTCTAGTTTATACTTTTCTGCTTCTTCAAGGGCTCTATTCAAGCGAACTTCTATAGCACTTTGAATGGTGGCAGCCTGTGTTTGTAGTCGTCTTTTATTTTCTAATTCCTGTGTAATAAAACAAAAAGATATGGGCTATTTAAATAAGTTCTATTTGTATATTTTTAACATTTTTCCATTTTCATATCCCTTGGTTTTTTCCAAAGTTTATAGCCACACACAGGGCTGAAGTCACAGTGGTAAGTGATAGTTTTTAGGGAATTCTTACCCTGAACAGGAATTTAAAAATACATACAATAAACTCTAGTCATGAACTGGCTCTCAAGTTCAGCTTCTTCTTTTTAACACCTGTATTTACTTTATAAACAACATTTTGTATACAATTCTTGGAACCTACTGAAACACTGTTTTTGTGTAAAACTGACAAAGCATACCATTAAGAAAACAGTCATTAAATACAGAACATCAGATACTAGTCTTACAGGAAAATCCCAGTGCTGAACAGAAACAGTGTGTCTTGTGATGAGTTTCCACATTCTGGGATGTGTTTGCTCCTAGTATCTCTCCAAGTAGTCTAGAATATTCTGTTGCACAGAGTCAACAGGCAAACACCTGAAGAAGCATGAACATACTGGATAAACTCCCAACTCAACCAGAGCGTTTGCCCTTTACACAGCCTTTTCTACTGCCACACACAGAACTTCAGTAGCATCAGCAGTCCTAGGGTGTCTCCCCAACGGCCATGGCGGTTCAGGCCTCTGAGCCTTTGTTCATGCTTTTCCTGCTTTCCGTGATCCTCTCTCTCTCCTCATGTTTAACTAACCAGTACCTACTTACTATCTAAGATTCAGCTAGGCTCGTTTGCTAGTGTTTAACTTCCTTGGGAAGCCTCTCCTCTGTGATCCTCACTATCCACCCAGGTTCGATTTAGTACCTTTTCTTCAGAGCTTCCGCAGCACCTTCAGACACACTGACCACAGCACCTGCTGCATGGTTTCAAACTATTCACTTGCTTTGTTTCCTCCAATACATGGTAAGTGACCTCCATGGGGGCAGAAACTACCTTAAATTCTACATCCTCAGCATTTCACTGTCATCTAAAAAACACTGACATCTTTATTTTATTGAATACTAACCAACTCTTCTTTGTAACTCCCTTAGTTACTTCTTGCTCATTGCTGAGACAAAATACCCAGCACCCAGTGTTTAAGGGAGGAAGGTTTACTTAGGTCACAGAGTGTAGAAGTTTCCGTCTATAACCAGCTGGCTTCAACAATGGGTGGCTCAGCAGAGGAACATTACAGAGAACAGTTCATGGCAGCAGACACCAAGAGCAATAAGCAAGAGAAAACAAACCTCTTTCTGTCCCATGTTCATCCAGGCTGCTGAGATTACAGCAGCACCAAACCAACCAGTGAATTGATTTATTAATCACACAGTCTTAGTCCCAGGCATCACATACTCTAGACTCAGCCACCTTTGAAAAAGCCTCACCTAAGATTGTATGAGGCTTTGGGGAGGCAGCTAGGCACAAACTGTAGTATTCAGCCCCTGGAGCCCCAAAGACTAATGTGTATTCCTTTGTGAAAAGGCATTTAGTCTATTTCTAAGAGTTGTTGAAACTGTTAGGACTTTGGCAGCTCTTAAAGTCCAAGTCCTAAGTCTCCTCTGAGTTTTAAGGCAAACTCTTGGCTGCAAGCCCCCATAAAGATGAAAAGAAAGTCAAAACACTTCTACCATACAGTGGCAAAAGACAAACACTACTGTTCTAAACGATAAATGGGGATACAAATGAATGGAACCAAAGAAAGTCCAAAACCCACCAGGGCAAACATTATATGCTGTAGTTCCACATGCAGCATCCAAAGCAATCTATGTCAAGATACGAATTTCACTAAGTGTATAAGATAGACATGATATTACTGAGTTTTGTTGGATCATTGAACAGAACTGTTTGGTCTCACTGTTTGAATGTCCAATATATAAGCTTTAATTTTGTAACTTGAACAAATATTTCTAAGATGACAATATGTAATCCATTAACTAGTGATTTCCTACTGTTTTTTTTCTGAAATTTTGTATAACTTGTACCCTTCATCTGCTTTTTTTTTTCTTTTTCTCCTTAAATAAAATTTTTAAAGATACGAACTTCAAACAGCTTTACTGGATCTGCCCCTACAGCACTTCTGGTGGTTGTAGCTCTGAGGCTCATTTGTGGGGCTGGCTCTGCTTCCTCCTTTTAATTTTCCTCAGATGATCTACACTCCTGGCTTCTCCAAACTGCTTTGGTCTCCACTGTACCTTTGGCTTCACACAGCGTCACACACTGCCCTCTCAGGGGTAAACTGCCTGGCCTCCCAGGCCTTTTGAAATCTGGGTGGAAGCCTTCCTGACACCACAACTCTTGCACTATGCATGTACCTAAAACTAGTGCCACACGGACAATGGCAAGATCTGCCACTAGCTGAAGCAGTAGCCAGGATCCCTTCTTTCTTGTCTGTAGTGGTTGAGTGCCTATGAACCAAATCAAAGGAACAATTTCCCTAGGCTGTCACCATTCTGGAACATGGTGCTTGGAGGTTTCTTCTCAAAGTGCAGTCTTTCTTTTGCAATTCTGAGGTTGCAAGGGGTGGAGTCCTGGTGGTTCTTGTGACACCCTCAGGTCATCTTTTCTATTCTCCTGTTCCTTCTCTGTTTATACAACACTGTAATTTTTGCTGATGGGGCAGTTTAGTACTACAGGTTTACATTCTATTATATGTTACAGTATTGCATGTCAGAGTTATGCAAATAGAAGCAAGGCATCATGTTGCAGTTTCCTTTAACCACTTAATGTTTAAGTATCTATTGTAATGCATATATCAAGCCACTCTTCATGGGTCAGCGCCATTCGCAGACAGTAGAGAGAGAGAACCAAGCCCTAAAGGGAGGAAATCCCTGCCTGGAAACTAGCGCCATGCATGGGCTGCTGCCAGCATGGGGAGAGCCAGACCCAAGCCTCTCTCTGTGAGCCACTGCCATTTGCAGACTGGAAGGGGAGAGAACTAGGCCCTACAGGGAGGTGATCCCTGCCCAAAAACGATACCATTTTATTGATTTGTTGGGTTGGGTTTTTATTTTCTTTTGTTTTGCTTATGTTAACTCTGATGGCATGAGCAGCTGTTTAAAAGATAGCAAGACATGTTATGGAAGCCATTATGTACTTACTATTAGTTTATTTTGATGTCCTTCATTGCATTTATTATTTTGTTTTTATTGTTTCTGTTCTGTTCTGTTCTGTTTTTAATATATCTAAAGGTGGTATCTGCAGCTGTTCTGAAGACATCAAAGACATTATGGTAAAGGTTTTAAAGTCCTGTTCTTAGATTAGAAGAACAATATTGTAAAAATGACCATATGACCATTATTCTGGTTTGTCTTGATTAATTTTATTGTTTTATTTTCCTGGATTTTATCCCCTTTAAAATAAATAAAAGAAAGAAAGACAGAGTGATCCCAAATAAATAACGTAATTTTGTATCCAAGGTCATACAAGAACAAACCAAACACATGAGTACCAGTAGAAGAAAAGATCTAACAAAGATCAAAGTAGAAGTCAATGAAATTAGGATTAAAAACCAAAATAAAACAACACATAAAAACAAAAAAAATACAAAGGATCAACAAATCAAAGAGTTAGTTATTTAAATAAGATTGAAATCCTTAGCCAAACTTACCAAAAGAAAAAGGGGCCAAATTAATAAATCAGAGATGAAAAGGTAGAATTTACAGGGGTTGGGGATTTAGCTCAGCGACATAAGCACCTGCCTTGGAAGCAGGCGGTCGTGAGTTCGATCCCTGGTACCGATAAAAATGAAAAAGACAAAAAAAAAAAGGTAGAATTACAAAAGACTCCACTGAGATACACAGGATTATAAGAAATTATTTTTGAAAGTTTATATTGCAATAATGTGGTAAATCTAGGAGAACCAGATAAATGTATAGGCACCTATGACCTATGAAACTGCACCAAGAAGATATAAAAACATCTAAATGAATTACTAACAAGCAATGAGAATGAGTAATAAAAATTTTACTAAGACATAGCCAGGACCCAACAAATTTACCACTGAATTTTATGAGACGTATAGCAAAGAACTTTTCCATATAACAGTAAGGAATGCTTTTACATTCACTCTATGAGGCCAGCATTATGCCAATTCCAAAACCAGACAAGGACTCACAGAAAACAAAAATACAGGCTAATATCCTTGATGAAAATAGATGCAAAAATTCTCAATAGAGTCATACACACAGAATTCAGTAATAATTAGAAAGGTCATACAACATGATTAAGTCGATTTTATTCTGGAGATGAGAGACAGTTTAACATGTGTAAATACCACACATAAATGGAAGCAAGGCTAAAAAATCATATGGTCGTCTCAATAGATACTGAGAAAGACTTCAATATGAAAAGTCCAACAACTTTCACTAAACAAAACTTTGATGAAAACTGGAATAGAAGGATCTTGCTTCAAACTGGTTAATACCTTACATGACAAACCCAGTCAACGTTACACTGAGCAGGAAAAAACTGAAAGCATTTCCTTTAAAATAAGGATCTTTGTGGTGTTCACTTTCATCATTCTTACTCCATATAATACTTGACACTTTAGACAGGGCAACTCAGGTGAGAGAAATAAAAGGAGATACAAATATGAAAGAATAAAAATTATCCTTATTTGTAGATTTTATACATATTTACACAGAACCCCCCCCCACCAAAACTCCACCAGAATATTTTAGATATATAAATTGAGCAGGGCAGCAGGATGCAAAATCACTACATAAAAATCAGTGTTGTTCGTATACACCAGTAATGAAACCACTGAGAAATCAGGAAAACAATTTCATCATGCTAGCTTCAAAAAATAAAAACTTAAAAAATTTCATTTTTAACCTTGCAATGAAGTCAACGGTCCTCCATAATGAAAATCACAGAATTCTAAAGAATGAAATTGAAGGGGATATTAGAAAATGGAAACTATCCTGTTCTTGGATTAGAAGAACTAATATTGTAAAAATCGCCACATTAACCAAAAGTGATCTATAGATTCAATGGCATGTCTATAAAAATACCAAAAATATTCTTCACATAAGTACCAAAAAATCCTAAATTTATAAGGTATCAAAAAAAGGTCCCAAACAGATATGGAATCCTCAGCAAAAACAAAACAAAAAAAAAAACAAAAAAACAAAAAAAACCAAAAAGCAAAGAAATGCCAGAAACATCACAATACCAGATTTGAAACTATACTACAAAGACATAGTAACAAAATCGACACAGAACTTCATAAAAACAAACCAGGTCAATGGAATAGAAAAAAAAAAGACAGAAATAAACCTGGGCACCTATAGCCATTTGACCAAGGGGGCAAAAACATAAAAAAGACCACCTCTTTAACAAATGGTGCAGGAAGAACTTCCGCAAACGGAAGACAGATGCTGGATTCCTATCCCTCACCCTCCATTAAACTTAATTCAAAATGAATCAAAGACTTAGATAAAAGACCAAAAACTTTGAAAGTGCTGGAAGATAACATAGGGGAAACACTTGAAGACATAGACAAAGGCAAAGACTTTGTATAGAATTCCTATTGCACAGTAAATAAAATCAAGAGTCAAAAAAATTTAAAATCCTCTGTTTAGCAAAGGAAACAAGGTGATAACATAACCTGCAGCATGGAAGATAATCTTTGCTGTTACTCAGTAAAGAAGATATTGATCCTCTAATATTAATCTAGAATATATAAAAAGCTCAAATGGGCAAATGAACTGAACAGGTGCTTCAAAAGAACTGAAAGCTCACCCTGGGTGTGGTGACACCAACCAATACACCAAGAGCCTAAATGGAATGTAAAATGCAAACGGAGGCTCACTACTTAGCTACCGCCTGCCTGCTGCCATGCCATGCCATGGATGGTTTCTTCTCTGCCACACAGCCTGGCCTTGGAGCTAGCCAACTATGCACAGAAACTTCTACAAACTGTAAGCTAAATAAGCCTTTCCGCCTTTACTTTTTTTAATTTTAAAAAGAATAAAACAGAACAAAGCAGATCCAAACAAAACAATGCAAGCAACACAGGATTTCAAAACGACAACAGGAAATCAACAATGGCTACCATGTCTCTTGTTTTCTTCAAAATGGTTGTCCATATCTTCACACACAATGAATTCAAACAAAACTAATAGTAAAAACCAATCAAAAGACAAAAGAATGAAAACATTACAGACCTTCAAAACCAGACAATAGGAAAATTAATAATGGCTACCTTAGTGTCTCTTGTTCTCTTGAAAATAGCTGACTATATTGAAATCAAATAACAAAAAACAGACTAAACAAAACCAAAATAACAAAACAAAATAATAAAAACCAGTCAAAACAAAGAATAAAAGCATTAGTGGACTTCAAAACAAGATGATAGGAAATCAGCAATGACTACCATAATGTCTTGTTTTCTTCTGAGTAGCTGTTGATACTATCACAGGTAATAAAATCAATTCTTATATACATGTACATCTATCCTTTCTGTGTTAGAGAGAACAACAAAATACAAGAAAAACAAGAAACAAAAGAGACAATAAGCTTTCAAAACAAGGTGGTAGGAACATAACTAAGGTGATTATTTTGCAGGTATCTTCAAAAGAGTTACTCAGATTACCAGATATAAACATGCAAAATTGATCTAATCCTATGACTGTTAGCTATTTTGTTCTAAGAACTATTAGAATTAGTAGTACAATCATCTTAGCTATCTTAAGTGTATAGATACAAATTTATATCATTTTTCTTTTCCCTTCCTTCTTTTCTCCTTTCCCTGAGTTATTTTTCCCCCTTTTTGTAGTTAACCTTTCCTCCTTTAACTTGTGGGTTTGGGGTATTTTGGCCCAGCAATGAGGAAGTAACTAAGACATTCTCCTATATAAGAGACAGACTTTTCAGTATTACCTGAACAACCCTAAGTGTACCTATAAAAGCATACCTTTAATAATGTCAGTGTGTCTTTGATATTGAATTAGAAAAAAACAGCAAAACTATTACCCTTTCTACTGAAGATAACTGTTGTTGTAATTCATCACATTTTTTGTTTGCTTCCTCAAAAAGATTTTTGTATTTTTCTATTTGGGACTGTTGTACATTAATTGTTCGCTGCTGTCTTGCACAATCTTCTTCAAAATTTTTTACTTGAGACTTTAAATGTTGAATATCATCTTCCTATACGTTACAAAATTATAGATTATATAACAAATACAAGGCAGTATCAAATCAAAGCAGAAAACAAAAACTTCATATGGTTTTAATGAAATATGCACAGTTAATGAAGCACAACAAAGTATATTCCACTTTCATCTTCAGAAGTGGAATTCAGATATTAATCTGAGATAGAGAATTCTTATTAACAAGTTTTAAAAATTCTTTAGCTCTAGAATAATGCAACGATACAAATCAAAATCTGTAAATTATATCCAACAAATACAATTCAACAAATACAATTAAAGGATATTCAACAAATACAATTAAAATTGATCCTCAAAGTCTTTGGTGGGAATTTTTATTACTACAGTACATCATGTTTATATTCCTTTTATGCAGTTACTTCATGTTCATACCTCATCTTAATTATTTTTTCATCCCCTTTCCTTCCCCTCTCTCCCACCTCCCTCCATCTCCTGATTCCCTTCCCACTTGAGAAGAGATATTTCTTTTGAGAGGTTTTAAAAACTTACCTTTTTATTGCATTCACATACAACATTATCCAGTTCCTCCTGCATAACATGGAGTTTGGCCTTTAGAAATCTGATCTGTGCCTCTGTGGATTTAAATGATTACATTTACTGCCTTTTGCTGTATCTAAGATATCACCAACTGTAAGACAGACCATAATTTTATGAGGGAAAAAATGCTCCAAATGGGGAATCCAATAGTGTACCCCTACTAGGGGACATTAAAGATATCAAATGCTCACTCGCTCTTTTCTTTCCTCTCTCTCTTTTTTTTTTGTCTTGGAAATTGAGTTCAAGACCTAATGCTTGCCTGGTAGGAACTGTGCTATTGGGCTAAATCCCCAGTCACCTCAAATGATCTTGTAAAAATAAGTTGGAAATGAATGCACTCAACAGAAAGGAACAGCTAGGAATTGTGCGTATTTCCTCATGGAAGCTGAGTTAATAAAGGGGCAGGGGAAAAAAACCTTTCCTAGCTAACCCATTTGTGAACTGAACTCACGCATAAGACAGTGACCCAAAACATGTTAAACAGAATTTACAGTGGTCTCAGGATCAGTAGGTCCCCAGGTGTTCAATAGAAGCAAACGCAAATCCTTGCTAACAAAACCCTGCTTCAAATTTTACAAAGCAGTGTATGTTTCCAAACTGCTTTCAGATCGTTTCTTCTAACACACAGCCCTGCCATTCCAAGCAGACATCTAGAATGAGGGAAAATTCTTCCAAGAAGGAAGTCTCGGGCCAGGGATTTAGCTCGGCAGCATAAGCGCCTGCCTTGCAAGTGCAGGATCCTGAGTTCATCCTGGTACCAAAAAAAAAAAAAAAAAAAAAGGAGAAGGTGGGGAGTGGGGAGAGGGAGGAGGAAGAGCAGGAGGAGGAAGAGGAGAAGAAGAAGCAAGATGTCTTCTAGGCCAAGGACACTGCAGAAGGAAGACCCTGAGACAGAGAGGCAGGCAGGTAATTCAGCAGAAAGAAAAGGGAGCGTGCCAGTCTGTGTGCCTTGGTTCTGCTGCTGGAAGTAAGAACATGGTAACAGGCCCGGGCGGCCCCTCCAGGTGAACAGCCAGCCACCCTGTTTTCATTTTAATGTTTGAATGTAAACTGTAGGGCATTTTAATTTTACTTGAAAGTGCTCCACAAATCCAAAACAGTATAGTCTTTTTAATTTTTACTTTTTATGATAGGAAACATTAAGTAGACACAACAGAGGCAAGTTCGGTGAACATTTCACCTACCCTCCACCCTCTGCAACAGACACTGGAGTTTCACCTTGAACTCCACACTCATTTCATGTCCCACTACATTATTCACTAAACAAACCTAAGACATCACGATAAAAATTTTAAGCCCAAGAAGCAACTCACAAAGACCCCTATTCCAAGTAATTGCGATAAAAGGGAAGATGACCATCAAAAGAAAACCTACTTGTCCCAATATCTTTACCAGCACCAGAGAAAATCTCATCGTCCGAACGTTCAGGTAAGCCTTCCTCCAGCTGCCCTTCAATTTTGCTAATCGTCTTTGCAAGAGAAAAGTCTGAGAAATCCTCTGGAATGGCAACATCACTGGCAGTCTGTACACTGCAACATCGCAATTTAACACTAAGACATAAAAATTAAATGCATATATAAACACAAACAGAAAGGTACAAAGGAAATATGGCGTTTGCCCAAATGACAAAACAGATCAAAATTATCAATTTTAAATTTATGATGAAATACTTAATTGATACTTTCAAAGACCACAAGACTGAATAGACTTTCAGGGAGTGTCTATACCTAAAACCTAAATTCCAGTCTCCATCCTAAGAAAATATTAAAAATGACATGTAAGTGTTCTGAAGTGGTGAATTCACTTAAGACAACAATACAACATTTCCATCAACTGCTACAAAATATTTCCAAGTAAAAAATGTTTTAAATCACTGAATGTGGTAAGATACACATGGTGTAACTATAAATTTTGGGTATATAAATATCTGGAGAAATAAAAACAGCTTAATAATTAAAAAGTGTTGTGAACTATAAAACTGAAAGTAATACTTTAAAACTATATTATACCTCGAATTTGCTTTTCTTCCTTTATTTGCAAACTGTAGCTTGTTTTGAACTTTGTTTGCAGGACTAGTGCTTTTGTTCTTCAGCTAGAAGAAAAGAATTGAAACTCAATCTAATTATTTGCCAGAGAAAGCAATTGCATAACACATGCAACTGCTACTTTGCTATAAATAAGACTGCGCTTTTCACTGAATTAATTCAATTGTATTTTTAAGAATCCCAGAGCTGCATACCTGTGACCAGCTTGTGTATCACCAGAACGAGATTCAAGGATGAGGAAAATGAGGTCCAAAGATTCAAGGACGTTCAGCTGGTCAGTGGAAACTAAATCTGGGTATTCTGACCCTCAAGAGTTTAGTTCTCCTCAGGAACCAACTAAGTTCCAGTCTGGCCTCCCCCAGCCTTCGGATACACAGTTCCCCTGGCCTAGATCTGCATGGGGAGAGCTTACAGATCCTGAAATGCCCAGGGTCTGAAAGAATGATCTCCATGCTGTGAATATTTTAAATAGTCGAATAAGCCTTTATATAGCCTTTTTATTTGTATGCGAGCACATTTCTCTTTCATATTTTCTCTCTTAAACTGTGGAGAGAAAACTGAGAATATAAGGTTACAATCTTAATTCACTTAAAAATTTTCCACTGTGTTCCAAATTGTTCAGTGAAATCACAAAACAAAAATGCTTCAACACACACAAATGCATCCCATCAGAGAATCTGAGTTTATATTTTTTCTATTGTATCTTACCCCTTCTCTAAGAAAAGCCTAAGGAGCTCCTCAGTTCTACAGAATAAAATTGCATTTACAGAAAGTGTGATTTCATACCTTAGTTTCTGGATGTACATGCACTAACCCTTCAGATGATAATGGATCTCTACAGACCAAAAATAAATATTATACATGAATAATGATGATACGAAGCTGAGAAAATGAAATTCCACAGCAATTATATTTGAAAGGGAAAATATATGATTATTGATATAATTCTAGTTATTCAAATGTTAATTTATTTGGATAAAGTATGCACAAAATTCTATTTCTGTATCTTTCAAATATCCATGAATTAGAATTATATTTGCTATAATTCTAGCTATTCAGTAATTTATTTTGAATGAGTTTCATTAGAAATGTGCTTTGGTTAAGTAATTTGCCTCTGATAATGTTATGGTTTGAGGCTGGGTGTCCCCCAAAGCCTGATTTGACAGTTTGTGAATGAATCAAGGTCCAAGCTGGTTTATGGGTATTTTACACCTGAGTGGCTGTGGCTTAGACACAATGTAAGAACAAAAAGAGTCTTTTCTCTGTGCTCCTTCCTGTTTGCTTGTTGTCTTTTGCTGTTTTTCCCTACCAAGAACTACTGCCCTCTGCCATGTGCCACTCTGCCTTGGAGTCAGTTGATGAGGGACTAAAACCTCCAAAACTGTGAGCTAAAAAACCTTTCTTTCATTCGCCCTGGGTGTCAGGTATTTTGTCTCAGCAATGAAAGAAAAGTAACCAAGACAGATTAAGCTACTATACTGCCAATATTTCCACAGCTAAATCTAAACATACATTTAATGATTGGAAAGCACAAAGAGTGATGATTGGCTACACAGAGGAATCATCCATTTTACAAATTATTCAGCACAGAATTTTTTACTATGAGCGTATTCTGGTGTCATTCTTCTAATTGTTTAAGTAACTGGTCAGTGTTGATTTTCCCCTTGCACTGTGAACTCTGGTAGAGAGGGTAGGGTAGGGGTCAGCTTTGCCTTTTTCACTATTCAGGGGCTACTCGCTGGCACAGTACCTCACATATAAGTTCTCAGCCTGGCAGTAAATAAATATATGATATGCTGAATGAAAAATACACCTAAAATGCAATTAATTTTACACACTTTAGGTTTTTAAAACATTTTTAGTTTACAACGAGTATTTATGAGGGTTCACTATGACCCCCAGGCTGAATCCACCCACATCTATTATTATATATTGTAATGCAGTTATCACTGTACTACAGCAAAATTAAGTAGCTGGAACAGAGCTGTATGCGCCAAACCCAGAAAGTATTAACTATCAGGCACACTACAGAAAAAGTTCACTTATTCCTGATTAGCTGTCTGTACCTATCCCTGTTAGTATTTCTAAAAGCGTATTACATTAGCATCTATGAAACAAAAAAACCCCATCTTAGCAAACTAAGAACTCCTAACCACAGGAGATAATGAAATAAAATTACTTTTCATCAGCTGTCACCTGCTGAACTAATCATGAATAGATTTTTTTCAAGATTCAACACAAAAATATTTTTAGGTATCATTAATTAACTACAACCACTTAAAGAGCTACTAGAAATACCTCTGGGAAGGCATAAAAGGCTATTTGAAAATGTCTTAAAATTACAGAAAAAAAAGAATCATTCTCACACATACAACATGAAAATTTGATGTCCAATTAATGTTTGACAATTAATGTTTGGCATTTCCGTGGATTATTTTCTGCACCTCTCACTCCAGTACATTTTGGTAATAAAAAAAAAAAAACGTTTTTAATGGTTATTTCTCCACCCCAGGGATCAATGGTATTGATTTGCTTATCTGTTTCCATGAAAAATGAACTTCAACAGATCTCTGCTTGTTTTTGCTCATTTCCCCATCAAAGCTTTGTAACAGGATTGAAATTATTTGAGTGTAAACTTTGCTTTCAACAGACTGGGATATACATACTTGTCATGGTTACATCTAATAGCATCTAAGAACCTTACGCATTGAGAGGTGGAACTTTCGGAGGGTGGCTGGATGTAGGGGCGAGAGCTGCCTTGCTGTTAGGAGATGGGTTTGGCTGGAAGAGGTAAGGGGGGGCGTGGCTGGAAGGGTTTATCTTCCTACCCAGCTCCCCGCTTTGTTTTCTGCTTCCTGACTGAGATGCCCCTCTGCCGTGCTGTCCTGTTTGGACTGAAACCTCTGCAAACCTCTACAAAAATAAACCTTTCTCCTCTAAGCTCTGGGTGTTGGGTATTGTGTCTCAGAGACAAGAGAGTGACTAAGACAATACTGAATTTTAGGAAACTAAATTCTGCTTTCTTTATCATATTTTCCAAAAGAGTAAACCTGAATATTGGGCATCTATTATAAGATACACTGATGGACTTCATCAGTGTATTATCATTAGGTGGATTATCATTGTGCCATTGAAATGACTCATCTCCTTAGAGGAACAACTCCCATCTTCAGTAATTGCCAACAAAGAATCAAATACGCTGTTTCACATGGGAAAAGTCATCTGTTTAAACAGCAGGATTTTAAAAAAATCCACCGTATCTAGGTAAACAGAGGCATCACCACTAATTTGCATTTAAGAAAAACTTAATAAAAGAGAATCAACATTTATTTTTACGTTTGTGATATTAATCTTTCACTTACTTCAACAGAAATTAAAGATTATCTGCTACTACCACCATTTCAGTCATTTAGTTTACTAGATAAGAGTCATGAATATTATCTATAACCCAAATTTTTGATTGTTTTTCCACTTCTATGGATAGAACTCAGGGAGTACTGACTTATATCTTGCCCCCCCCCCACCTTTTTTTGGCCCTTTTAAAATTTTTGACATAGGGTTTTGCTAACTCTCAAGTCCGACCTTTAGCCCCAGAGGAACTGAGATTACAGGCATGTGTCGCCACACTCAGTGTCTAATTTGAGGATTTTGATAACTGTTAAACATATTTTTACATAGATCATCACACATAGTAAAGTAGCTTTATGTTTTAGGCCCATATTACAGATATCAAATAATGATATAAGATATGTTTACTAAATAAAACCTTCAGATGCAACTCACTAGAGAAGTTTTCTGGGAGCAGGATCCAGGCCATGAACTGACCACTGTACTACCAGTAGCCAGACCTGACACTAAGCGTTCAATCATTTTTGTTTCATGTTTATTGAGATACAATTATACATCATTTTTAGGTATATAACTCATAAATTTTAACAAACCTAGTCAGTCACATAACCACCATGACAAGTAAGACAAAGAAGGATATTTCCTCTATTCCCAAAGTTTCCCAGGGCTCCTTGGTATTTAGTCCCTGACCCTATTCACAAGCCCAGAGGACCACCAACCTAAGTTCTGTCCCTATAGTTTTGAAGTTTTCAGAATCTAACACAGATGAGCCCCATACTGGCTTCACGGGCAGTGGAGTGTAAGAGCTGAAAAACCCGCAGTCCCTAGTAAAGCCACACTCCACAGGGTGGTTACACGTGACAGAACAGTCCAGCAGACTGTTATTTTCAGGACATAACCCACCACTAAACAATGCATGGTTATAAATGAAGACGCAGCTCATGGGTATTTTTAAGCCTGGGATCTTAGGCCTGGCACCTACACTGCTGTCACACCAGCCTTCATTTTTAAGTAGCGTTCTAGCACTGAGTTACCCCACATGACGTTTACCTACTCCCCACTGGTGATCTGATGATTATTTGAGCTGTTTCTAGTCTTTGGCAATTAACAATAAAGCTGTTCTAAACATTTACATGCAGGTTTTGTTTTTTGTCGGTTTTTATTTTTCTAGAATGAGTATCTCGGGTACTGCTGGATTATCTGCAATAATTATTTTCAAGTAAATGAAAAATATCCTGATGTTTTAAGTACAAGCCTGCCTTAATTACTTCTTGTTACTGGGACAAAATACCTCACACGCAAAGTTAAAGAAGGAAAGGCTCACTATTGGTCACCTTTTATAGAGGTTCCAGCCCATCATCGGCTTGCTTCAAGGCAGGGCAGCAGGCTAGAGGGGCTGCTCCATGACTGAAACAGCTGCTAACTAAAGCTGATAGTGTACATGGTACGGATGTGTCAGACAACAGGATGACACACGAATGGGGCAGCATGGAGCAGGACAGCGGAGATTTCATCTAGATGCAATTTAAAATTTATGCATTGTCTATTTCTGGAATTTTCTACTGACTACTGCACGAAACTTGGAATGCTTGATAATCACCAGTGTTTCTGCTACAGAAAGATTTTATAGTTTGATTTGTGAAGATCCTATACCTTTCATGTTAAATTTATCTCTAGATATTTATGGTTCCCTAATTTCTTGGCATATGCTATGATTTGGATCAAATGTTCCCCCAAATTCTCATGTGTTCAGAGGCAGAGCTTTTGAAAAGTGGTTAGATCACAGAGGTGCTAACTGTTGTAACCTGGCTAAGGCGCTGCTATCCTGTTCTGTAAGCATCGTTACCCTGACCTGCGTTTCAACTCTCGTTTCTTGTCAATTACGCTCTTCTAGAACAGCAATTTGGTTCCTGAACCAACTGACCCTTAACTGTAAAACATTTGCTGACCACTGATTGTAAAACACTCGGTCCCAGGACAACCCTGGTTGTGAAACATTTTTGCAGAAATTAACTCCCTTTTTGTATAAGCTCCCTCCCCTTTTCCTCTGCTTTACTGTCTTTACCTTTAAAAAACCTCAGTAACCTAACCTGGTTACACAGCTCTGCAGATTCCAAAGCAGGTTGTGTCACTGGGAACCAGCTAAAATACAGCACTTCTTTTTAAAGATGTCTTGCCCCATCTTTTTAACAACATCTTGGGGCCTCATTTTGGGGTACAACACTAACCTTATGCATAGATTACCCTAGTAATGAGTTCATGAGTGGATGGGCTGGTTACAGGTGGGCCTGGCTGGAAGAAGCCGGTCCCCGGGACATCCTTTCCAAGTGCTCGTCTCTCCTGGGGCTCTCTCCCTGCTCACTACTTCCTGGCTGCTATGAGGTAAGCAGCTTCCCTCTGTAATAACTTTTGGTCATGCCTGGGATTTGCTCAGTGGTTCAAGTGCTTGCCTGGCAAGTGCAAGGTTATGAGTTCAATCCCTGATACTAGAAAAAATAAACATAAATTTTAAAAAATGATGCTTTGTCATGATGTCTCTGCCTTGGAAACAGCCTACCACAGACTGACATCTCTGAAACCGTGAACTAAAATAAACTTTTGTTCCTTTAAGTTGTCTATGTCGGGTATTTTATCCCAGCAACAAAAGGTTAACGACCTTTCAGATATGTATGGGAAATTCAAGAGAAAAAAGGAATACATATTATCTTTTCTACTTTGATTGTCTGTACTTAATGTCCAGACACATAGAACAAGTTTAAAGATTGTATCACTTATGATTTGAATCTCAGACAAAGGATATACCTTTCTGTATGTTCTTTTGGCAAACTAATGAACCTCTTATTTCTGAGAAATGCACTTTTTAAAAGGAGAATAATAGTATTTATTTTCAAACAATACATTCCAGAGTTACAGGACACAGTAAATGGCTTGCCTTTTAATATCTAACTAGCATACGCCTCTAGTTATTATTCTACATATGATTCCTCTTCCAGTTATGAGCCTTCAACATTTGCATGTCAAAAAATGATATAGTAAAAGACTTGTATATGTAATTGAGCTTTTTAAAAAAACTAGTGTTTTGAGAATTTAAATCACTTACCTTATGCTATAACCATCTTCCACTTCATAGGATTTCTTTGGTGTTGAAAAAGGCCTAGACTGTACCTCTTGCTGCTCTCTCTAGTTCAGTGAGTAAAGACATATGTAACATAGAACAGAAAGGAAAAGGAAGATATATTCTGGTACCTTTCAGAACACCGATCATTTCAGAGTTTTCCATGGTTTTTATAACATGAAAACACAGAATTTGAAAGATGATTAGTATGAAAATGAGGCCTGATGTATTACAGCTCCCCTTTTCATTTGCTCTGGGTTCACAAAGTCAATCCAAAGGGGAAATAAAAGAATGCAGAGGCTCCTTTAAGATATTTTCAATTTCTGTTTCCCTGCTAGAATCTTTTATTGTTATACAGTATGCAATAAAAATTAGACAAAAACTTTTTAAAAATCCTATTAGTAAGGGGCTGAGGATTTAGCTCAGCGGCATAAGCGCCTGCCTTGCAAGCACGTGGTCGTGAGCTGATCCCTGGTACCATTAAAAAAAAAATCCTATTAGTATGCAAGAAAATGTCTCAAATCGGGTAAAATCTGTGTTGTAAATACCATAAAGACACTAAAAATCAATTTTCAGGAGTAAAAGCTTTGGCAAAGACATATCAATAAAGGAAAGCAAATAAACACATGCTGTGGAGCCAAAGTTACACTCGGTAGCAGTTTCCGTGGGCTGGAGGGTGGGGTGCAAGGCCTTCTCCTGTCCAGTCCTCCTCAGTTTCCTTCTTTGTGTTTTGGAAGAAAGGAAATTGTCTTTTGGTGACTCTACATCTGAGTCTCTCATTCTATTACAATGTGGGGGCTTTCTGTCCCAGGTCTTTCCTGTTCTAACACTGGCAAGACTAAAAGTGAACTAAAAATATTTGTTGCTAGTAAGACAAAAAATTATTCTGTAGACAGGGTCTCGCCATGTAGCCCAGACTGGCCTTGAGCCAGCAGTGATCCTCCTGCCTCAGCCTCCTGAGTGCTGGGATTATAGGTGTATGCCACCACGCTTGGCAACTAAAATATTTAATTAAAAATACAGCTAGCACATCTGTAAATATTATCTAAATGTATTAATTCAAGTGTTATACGTGACACATTTCTTATTCTTAAATTAACAAATACGTAGTGGTAAAAGGCATTTACAATATTGCTAAATTTCCTTTCTTGCCTCTATCAATTCCACTTCTGGGAGATTAAAGGAAGATGTAATTATAGTAGGGTAAGAACTGGTAAGTTTGAATGCACCTACTTTATTCCTCCAAAGAAGGTTCTCCACCCTATATACAATTAAAATTGCGAATGCTGATGGGTAAGGAGAGCTATGTAAGCAGGAACATCCAAATTGGTATCAGGATGGAGAACAAAATTCTTACATAAAACCTCACAACACTGTTCCTGACTAAAACTGTGGTTGTAGTCTAGCCCTAAGAATATGAATTAGATTCAACTGTGCAGTTTAAGCAACAATTTATCATTTAAATATCAGTGATGATTGTTATCATTTATTCAAATTTCATCTACAGGCAATTTGATTTCTATCCCTGTTGAATTACCCATGTTAATTCTACACAGCTACTCCGAAATATTAATCTTTTGGTACTAGAAAAGAGTGTTACATATCAATTTTGTTATATTATTGCAACACCTAAATGCAAAAACATTCTTTCAGTGGCATTTAGGAAAAGTATGCTTACCAAACTGGATACTTGAACGTACACATAGCTGTATCTCTGCATATATGTTCAGGCTAAGTGTATGATGATTCATTGAGCTGAACCTAATGCTTTGGGTACTTTTTGATGTCTGTGCTATACATCAAAATAAAAAGTGAAAACAGCACTTACATGGAATTATTATTAATTGTTCATCTACTTACTATTGCTTCCTCTGCTTGTCGAACAAGATCAACTGTTTTTGCTTCCAATTCTGCATTTAAACGCCTAAAAGCAGAAAATTAGCTAATAAGTATGTTATGAAATATCATTAAAAACAGTTACATATTAACAAGTAGCCTAACCAACAAACACTGAAATATACACATAACATTCTTACTCAAACACAAACACAGCTACTAAAACACATCTCCAAATCCATGTGGTTCTTCCTCCTTTGTGGTAAGACGACTAACACTGTAAGTAACAGGCTCTCTGTAGCCTACTGTTCAAGTGAAACAGCTTATTTCACTAACACATTCAGGAAGAATAAACTAGATGAATTCTACACAGTTCCACATGTCATCCTCTTGGGCTGCACAGCATACAAATTTTAGCCTTGCTACAAACAGGCTTTGCTGGACCTAAGGCTGGGGGACAGCCACCATGGGTGACTGGGGAGCTGATATGGGGTGCTGTAATGCAATGGGGCTGACAACTCAACCATATTTTCAGTATCAACTTTGACTTCCATTTGCCAGTCCACTTGGACTGTACAAAAGAACAAGAATACTGCTCACTTGGACCCATCGAAGACTGCAAGGATGACAATCATTGAGGGAAATTGCTTTTAAAGGAAAAAACTGTTCATAACTGTCATGGTTTATGTCGGTGGCCCCAGGCATCATGCATTTACATTATGCATTTGTGATTGGTTCATTGTCTAGTGCTTAGATTGATGATGTCAGTGCTACACCCACCTAGGGTGGAGCCAGCATACAATGTAATGGCAAGAAGAAAATGTGTATCTCTCTCTCACTGGTTTCTGGCTTGCTGTTTGCAGCCACCATGAACTGTGGCCCACCATGCCACCCTGCCTTGGAGCCAACTAAGTATGGACTAAAACTGTAAAAAGTAAACCTTTTCTTTCCCAACTTTGGGCATCAGGTATTTTGTCTCAGCAATAAATAAAAAGAAACTAAGCCAGAATTTGGTACCAAGAGTGGGATCATTTGCTGTGACTATACCTGATCATGTTTTTCGAGAGGCTTTAAAAATGGCTTGTGGGCAGAGCTTGGAAAGGTTCAGACATGTTGCTTAGACGCATAGAGCTAGAGCAGCTTAGGCTGTTCTACAGGGGAGATTCTGGTCAGAGCTCAGGAGACCAAAAGGCTGATAAAAAGCTTCATGGTAAAAACCAGGCTTGGGAGGTTTCTGCTGCGAAGAAGGACTGCATTGGTTGTTGGACTCCCCATGATGAGTGTTACAGCTCAGCAAAAAGTTTGTCTGCATTTTGCTCTTGCCCACAGACTTTGCCTGGGACTGAGACTAAGGGCAATAGATTGATTAATCTGGGAAGAAAAAAAACCTTCAAGGCAGTAAAATGTTGAGGCTATGGCATGGCTATTGTTGTGGGCTTTTAGCCAGCTTTATGTTACAAATCAAGAACAAAGAGCCCAACAAAATAATTTACAAAGCTGTGAGTTTGGCAAAAAAAAAAAAAAAAAAATTCCAAAAAAGCTGTAGATTATAAAGACAGAGTTGAGAGTTTGGTGAAAAAAACCAGAGAGATAAAAAAGATGATCAGGGGGCAACCCAAAAAACAGTGGGTCTTCACCCTTTACAGCCTCAAAGCTGCAAAAGTGAAAAAAAAATTTGCTCAAAAAAAATAAATAAAACCTCAGAGCACCATGCTCCAAAATGGTGATAGAGGCCACATGAGGTCCCAAAATGGCGACAACATAAAAAAGCTTTTCCTCACAATCAGGTAAGCAAAGCCCAGCAATCCAAACACTAGACTCCTACAGCAAAAAAAAAAAAAAAAAAAAAAAGGCCTGGCTACTGCTGCAGCTGGCAGCAAACCATGGTGGCATCCACATGGTGCTGATGGTGCCACTCATCATTGCCCCTAGTGATCCACTAGCAAAATTTTTGCTTCCTGTTCCCAATGACTTCATGTTCTGCTGGCCTAGAAGTTTTGGTTCCAGAGCAGGGAAGGCTTATAACAGGAAGCATGACAATGGTACCATTAAACTAAAACCTAAGACTTCCCCCTGGGTCATTTCGGTCTCCTCATGCCTCTGAGGAAACAAACTAAAAAGGGAGTCAAAGTGTTGTCAGGGGTGATTGACCCAGATTACCAAAGGGAAATTGGGCTACTACTCCACAATGGAGGAAAAAAAATATATGTGGAGTGCAGGAGATTCCTTAGGGCGCCTTTTATTACTACCATGCTCTGTTATTAAGGTTAATAAAAAATTACAGCAACCTAATCCAGACAAAGTGACAAGTGGTCCAAAACCTTCAAAAATAAAGGTATAGGTCACTACACCAGGAAGAAACCAAGACCTGCTAAGGTGCTTGCTAAAGGCCAAGAAAATACAAAATGGGTAGTAAAAAAAAAGTTCTAAATACCAGATACAACCCCGTGACCAGTTACAGAAAAGAGGATTATGATTATAATGTCTCCCCAAATATGGTTTTAATGTAACACAATGTTAGACTTAGTGCTGTTTTTTAAAAATTGTTAAACTTGTGTTATAATGTTAAGGTTATAAACTGATAAGAGTAAACATCAACCAAAAAAAGTTACACTGTGTATTCTGGTAGAAAAATTATAGCATTTCCGTTTGTACAAAAGACAGTATAACATGTTAGGCACAATTATATGCATGTCTGTGTATCTAAAACTAGTTTTAAAAAATGTGTCTGGTTGCCAAGTTGACAAGGGGTAGATTGTAGTGGTTGATTGATTGTGTCAACTTGAGACATTTAAAAGCTTAACTAAATGGGTTTAATGTTATCGTTTATGTTGGTGGCCCCCAGGCATCATGCATTTGCATTATGCATTTGTGATTAGTTCATTGTCTAGTGCTTGGATTGGGGGTATTAGTGCTACACTGGCCTAAGGGTGGAGCCAGGGTGTGATGTAATGGCAGGAAGAAGGTGTGTCTTGCTCTCCTGGTGGTTTCGGCTTGCTGTTTGCAGGAGCCATGAACTGCGGCCCTGCCATGCCACCCTGCCTTGCAACCAACTGAGTATGGATTGAAACCTCCAAAAAGTATAAGAAATAAACCTTTCTTTTCCCAACTTTAGGCCTCAGGTATTTTATCTCAGCAATAAGTAAAAAAGTAACTAAGACAATAACCCTAGTCACCATCATCTAACCGTTTTTATTTTTGATATTCCTTTTCAATTTTCATCTACAGTACACACACAGTTTTGTATTATTTCCACAGCAGAACAGCAGGGAACACATTTATCTCTATATAATCTTTGTAATAAGCATCTTATGTGTTTCCACAATATCCCAAAGAAGTAACATGAGCATAATGTACAACACTCTGTTCTTATTTTTGGTTCAACTCTTTTCACTTTTTAAAGATCAGTACTATAACAAACATCTTCAAAACCATTTAACTTCTTTCTCTTACTGAGAGGTCACATTTATGGATTATACGGGCTGTATTAAAGTTATATGAAAGAGAGGTATTCAGGAATTTATTTTTCTTAGGTATGTAATTCAAAAGTAACACAATGTCCTCAGGAAAAAGAAGGCAGCAAAACCATCTTTCCTAAGAGCATCTAATGTTTTAAGAAATACTTGTACTACCTTATGGTTTCTTGGTCAAAATACGAAACTTAAAGTTGCATTTAAATTTTCCTAACACAGATCAAGAGAACGTGAAGCTTTACATCTACATAATTGATGGAGATGACTACTCTTTTACTCCAAATCCATGAAAACGTCTATAAAGTGCAATAAAGGAAATACTGCTTAACTCAGATGCAGGAAGGGGAAATGCCTTGGTACTAATAGCATTCAAAGTGAGCGCACCAAGGAGAGCAGAAGTGAAAACAGCTTATTGGCTAGCTAGAAGTTGACACACATGTAAGTGGTGAAAGGCTACACTTGTGAAATACAGTTATCACACTACAGAAACTCTGTCCATAACCTTAGCAAGCAGAAACAAAGCTAGAGGCATGGCAGGAGAGAATACCTTGTCAGTGAAAGGGTTTTGGCCCAGACAGGACTCGGTAGCCAGAAAAGCCTCAACGGGAACCAGGAAGCTCCTATCTCCCCCGCCTCTAGGAATTTACCTGTGATGTCATCTTCCACGCCCCTGGGAACTTACCTATGGCGCCAAACCTAGCACCAATGGGCTACCCGTGCATCCCTGATGCCCCCTTAGGTTCTACCCCAAACCGAGGCTGCTTACATACCCCCCACACCACGTGTCTGCCAGAGAGAGAGCCGGACTCCAGCGGTCGGGAGTGCTGGTTCTCTCTCTCTCTGTGTTCTCAGAATAAAGGTCTCTTTTGTTTTATACTTCTCACCTTTTGGAAATAATCCTGTCAGTCAGTAATTACAACACAGAGGAGTGGAGCCCAGTCTACCTAATCCACAAGGTTCGGAGACACTATGCCAGCGCTGTACAGAAGAAAGCTGGCCTGGAAAACAATGGACGTCTAACCTAGAAAAGATAAACTCAAAACTTTACAGGGATACTTCTCATGCAGAGTACATGGGACTCTTTTAGAAACAAAAGCCTGCAAGAGATGACTTCAGTAAGATAACAAATCACACAGAGAAGCCACCAAAAAGAGACAGTCAACAAATGCAAAAGAAAAAAGGGTCAATGCGTCTTATTTTAAAGAGAAAAAACAATGAAAATACAGAATTTCAAAACCAGGTAATAGGAGACTGACAGTGGTTAATATATCCTTTATTGTTATCGTCAAAGTGGTCAACAGATATGTTGATCAAAAGTAAGGAAGAGGGATAAATTACAAGACAAATATGAGGAATCCTCTACAAAAAGGGTTAATAACACAAGAAAAAGGTTTCCATTCACTGATGACACAGGTAACACAGACCGTTGCTATCAGCTGCTCTCTGATGGAAGCTAGAGGAAGAAACCCCACACAGGAGGTGAGACTATCAGCATCTAAAGAAATAATGCTGAGAATTTTCCAAATTGAAGAAAGACATCACTCTAAAACAGAAGAAAACAAAACCACAGCCCACTCAGCACAGTGAACCTACAGAACTTTATTCATTGTGATGTGGAATTCAGGAACAGATCAGGTGATGACAGGGCCCAGAGGAACTCTGGAAGGCAGGCAGGTTTACTGTGCTAACAGAATGGTGGGAATCTCAATTCCAAATCACCAGCCCATTTGGGGTAAGGCAGTTACTTACACAGGTTCCAAAAGGAAGTACAAAAGGCAGATAATGTGGTGTTTACAGCTGGTTACAGTCTTGTCATATACTGCTAGACAAAATTTACTCTACGTAAGCTGACTGGGGTTACTACTGTATAACAAGCAAAAAGAATCAATCACTGAGACTGGGCACAGTTGTTCTCCAGGTGGTAAGTCTCTGGAAACTTGAAAGCAGCAAAACATAGTAACTGCTGAGTTACACTAATCTTGTAGCCGCCATTTGGAATGTCAAGGCTTATTAAATTTTGTAGCTTGCTAATTATTAAAACAGGCTGTATTTTTCAGTCTCATTCTTGACTACTGTTAAAAATATACTAATATTAAAAATATGTTTTAAAAATTTCCTTTACATTTAAAATTGCCTCTATAATTAAACTACCCAATAATTATTCTAGAAGAACAGAAAAAGTTAGCCTGCCTGCGTATCAAAAAATCAACTGCAGATGGCTGCTGACATCTCTGGATGCCAATAAAAAAATCAAAGGATATCTTCAATAGGCCAAAGGGGGGAACTGCCACCCAGGAGTCTATGTACACATAAACTGTCACTGAAGAATAAGGGCAAAAAAACATTCCCAGAGAAGACAAAGAGTTTAAGACTCAGATTTCCACAAAAAAGGGGGTCTTATATTTCATGAAGGAGAAACGGGGAAACTTGGATAAAATGAATCATGAACCAGTGGCTAGAAAACATGATAAAGCTAAATTACTACAAACTACAGAACAATACCAGTGATGACTCAAAAGGAACACTGCCAGCAACTTGAAAGACAGAGATAAACCAAGTTAAAGCAACAGAAGACAGACAACACCAAAAAGAGGAAGACATGGCAAATAACAGCAGCAACAACAAAATGAAAAACAAAATGATTAAAACAACTTCAATAAACAATGTAAATAAACTAAACTCACTTATCAGAAGGCAGAAATCATCAGGCTTGAACTTTAAAAACATGTCACAGACACCACACAATAATGGAAATAAAAAGACTTAAATAATACAGCCTTCAAACAGAATGGCCACCGTTATATGGAATAATTTTAAAGTATAGGTATGATGATTTTATTACACTCTAATAGAAAGCTACTACAAAAAGTGGTAAGGATATTGACAGACTGATGGATTTTTAGAAATAAAATTAGGCTAATCTAACAGATTAGCCAACATATAATAAATGTATGCATTGTCCATGAACACACACACACAAAAAAAACCCACAAACATTGAACAGGTACTTGGCCACAAATAAATCTCAAAATATCTTTTAAAATATCAGTGTTTAGTAAGACGTGGTGGTACGTGTCTATAACCCCAGCACTTGAGAGGCTGAGGCAGGAGGATCCCTGAGTTGGAGGCCAGCCTGAGTTACACAAACAAGTTCAAAACCAGCTTGTATTACTAAATTTAAATAAAAACAAAGCAGCAAACAACCCTGTGCCTTAGAAACTAAAAAAGCACACTCCTAAATAATCACAATGAAAATCATAAAATGTTCACGAATCCATAAAATAAGTACACTTCAAAACAGGTCCTGGAATACTTAAACTAAACTTGGAAAGAAAATTACAGACTTACATGTACTAAAAATAAGAAATAATGAGCTTGACAAACTAATAAATTTATCCACCACATAAAAGAAAATTTCAATTTCTATCAAAATGAAGAAAAATGAATTTTAAAAACAATAAGTTAGGTAATCGTGGTTAGTCCTCTGAAAAGATAAATCTCCTGACAAGATTGATAGAAAAAGCAAACATAAAAATAAACAATATGGAAAGGCTCCAAAAGTAGGGGTGCATACAAACAAAATTAAGATTTAACTCAAGAGAATATAGCAAATTTATGCTGGTACAGGTGTGACAGATACATGAAATGAACACTTTCTACAATATTTTCCATACCCACTTGACAAAAATAATAAAGATAATCCCTCGTTATAAAAATCTTTCAAAAACAGCAAAAGAAAACTACTTCGCATAATTCATATGGATTGGATAACGTAGATAATGTGGATCTCAAAATTAGAAAAGAGCTAGAAAAAAGCATAACACCAACCTTATTTTTGTTAACTACTGCAAAACATACCATTATAGCGATCAAAACCAGCAGTCTATAAAGGAATTAAGAATCTGCCTTTGTAGGATGAAACGTTTAAATGTTAAAAGGGGAAAATACTAGTTCTTTTAAAAATTAATTTGGAAAAAATTAATTTGGGAGAAAAATGTTCTGACAGATTTACGTCTCATTCAAATTAGGAACTGAGGGGGGAAGAACTTCTTTAAACCCAATTAAAAGGAATCTATGAAAATCCAAGATCAAAACCAGGTGTGGTGGTGCACACCTGTAATCCCAGCAGCACTCGGGAGGCTGAGGCAGAAGGATCACTGTAAATTCGAGACCATCCTGAGCTACAAAGTGAGCCCAAGGCCAGCCCGAGCTGCATAGTGAGATCCTGTCTCAAAAAGGCAAGAAAAAAAAAAAAAAAGAAAAAAGAAAAAATCTGACATCAAATCTCAAATATACTGATAAATTATTAAACATGGACTCCTCAAAATTACACTAGGTCTGTTGGAGCACGCCTGTAATCCTAGCACTCTGAGAAGCCGAGGCAGGCAGATTAAAATTCAAAGCCCATTCTAGACACTTAGTGACTTATCAAAACCCTGTCCTAAAATTTAAAGTGCTGGAGATGTAACTCGGTGAAAAGGCACTTCACCAGGAAAAAAAAATCAAATAAGAAAACTTATCACTTTCCATTGCATATCGCACTGTCCTAAGCAGAGAAAAAAGAACAATGCATGAGAAATACTAAAGGAATAGAATTATTATGATTTGCACGTCTGTCCTCCTAAAAAATCCAAAAGGAACTCTACAGAATAACAGAGTTCATTGGGCTGAAGATCTTTATCTACCTGAGACGTAGCACAAGATGCAAAAAACTAACAATGTTCCTACACACATAACCTGTTAAAAAATCTCCTCGCAGCAACCAACGATATAAGATGCCCTGAAACAATATGTATGTAAGACCTGTTTGTAGTAAAATGATAAAACATTTAACAGAACACTTCCTTGTAAATGTAGATGTGTATTCGTTGAAAGGAAGATTTAACAACCTAAATATATAAACTTAACATGTAAATCTAATGGAATTGGGATTTATGGAGAGCCTGCTCTGCTGGTTATTACATGGCTTAATGTTTGGCTTTCTGGTGTTAATAGGAGCATGATGCTTGAAGAATCTATCAATTTGAGTGCCTGGAATCTGCCTTAGTCTCGCCTCTCAAACAATGGTCACCCCACCCACCCCCACCCACGCCATGTGAAGACGCTGAACTGCAGCAGCCTGGACTCAGGTCCCAGGGAAATGTGTCCTGCCAACTGACACACTATTTCAGTGTGTTTAGTACTAAGGCAAGGGGCGAACTGTGGTTGTGAGCTCACATTCTTGCCTACAAGGATGGCATCTGCTCTTCTGCATGGTACAGGGCACTGCAGAAGGTTTAGGCAGAGCCAGGAAGTTCTTCTGTTCCTGTGCCTCAGATTTGTACACCTCCGAGAACAGATAACAGAGCAAGTAACAACTGGGCACTTGTATTACTAAAAACTCTTAGTAGCATGGAATAGAGATTATACGGTAATTCTACGTGTACTCCCTGAGGAACCGCCATATTGTTTTTCAATTCTTAAATTACCTACTTTAAATTAAAAAGAAACAAACTGGTTGAATATACTTTTCTCGTAAGGGCTTACATGACGCCGAATATCCTCTTGGGACTTACAGTACGATGGAGGAGGCAGAAAATAAAAAGTAAACTGAAGAATGCACTTATTGAATTATGCTAATTGCAAAAACAACAGCAGAGAGGGCGGGAGAAAGGAGCAGCACGATGATGGACAGGCAGGGGTCGGACGGAAACGCCGCCGTTCTCCGCAGCGCTGGAGAACTACGAGGCCGCGGCTGTGACCGCGGCACGCGGGACGCGGGGGCGGGGGGGCGGGGAGGCCCCACCTCCACACATGTAGACGAGGGCGGGATTCTGCCTGCCCCGAGAAACACGCTTCCAACTCATAAACGAGCCTGAAAGAAGTTCACGTCAGGTCTCCTGCGGGAGCCCGAATGAGCGCGACGTCCTGACGCCGGCGGTCCCTCGCACCCGCTGCCCTCCGGCAGAACGCTCCGGTTTCCAAGGCCGAGGAAGGCGGGCCCGGGAGAGGACAGGCGGGGCCGCAGTGTGCGCCGGGCCCCAGGAGGACGCCCCGCAGGAGCCTCCGTCCACAGAGGGGGAGACGCGCGGCGACCGAGCTCTTACTTATACTCTCGCTCCCGGGCGAGAAGATCCAGCGACGGGAGCGGGGTCCCCGGGACACAGCGTCTCTGCAAGACAGAGACAGCTGGATGACTCAGAGCGGAGCTCGCGGTGTCCCCGCCAGCCGAGCGCCTCCCCGGCCATGGGTCGGGAGGGAACTCACCCTAGAGCCCAAATTTTGACTCGCCATCTTTTGCTACTGCGACGCGGTTACCCAGGCAACGACGTGTCTTCTCGCGAGATCGCTCGTTTCCCCGCGCAGTCTCGGCGCTGGTGGGTGTGGCCGGCAGGCAAAATGAGCGCTGTGACTTCGAAGTGGAAGGAACGTTCTTAACCAAGTGATTCGCGTCTCTTTCTCAGTTCACTAAAAGCAGGGCTAGCAAGACCTTACCCAGTGCTTTTCAGCTAAGCTGATCCCACATTCATTTTATTTTAAATGCAATTAAAATTTTAAAGTTCTGATTTCTTTTATTATTATTTTTAAAAAATCTTTCTGCAGTACTGAGAATTACCCTCTGCCCTTTTAAATTTTGAGACAAGATCTGCAAAAGTGCTGAATTGCTCAGGCCAGGCTGACTTGCCATCCACCTGCCTCTGCCTCTTAGAACGCCAGCATTAGAAGCCTGGGCCACCACGCCCGGCGGTGAATTGCGGCACAGTTAGGAACCCAGTCTGGACACTGTCTCAGCTACTTCATCTATAAAACGGAAGTAGGGTAGTGTCCACCCCACACAGTGCTGAGGAGCGAGTGAATTCATGTTTAGGATTGTGCCTAGAACACAGTTAAGCCAATAATTCCAGTTGTTTTAGAATAAAATAGGAAGTTCTGAAATAAACCTTCACATTTACAATGAACTGATCTCCCTGCAAAGATACCAAGACCATTCAGTGAGAAATGACTCTTCAACAAATGGAGGACTACAAATTCACATGCAAAAGAATGAAACTGGGCCCTTGCTTGACATCATGACCAAAAAGATCAATGAAAGACCTAACTACAGAACTAAATACAAAGCTGCTCAAAGAAACCATGCAAGTAGATCTTTAGGTAACGGCCTCTTTACTATAACACCAAAAGAACAAGCAACAGAGTAAAAAGAGAAAAACAAGACATCACTGATATTTAAATTTTTTTATTTCAAAAGATACCATAAAGCAAATAAGCCACTGAAAGGGAGAAAATTTTGCAAAATGTATGTCTGGTCAGTGACTTGTGTCTGTAATTATTAAGATACAAAAATAAAAGATGAAAAAGTTTTTTTAAAAATGGGGAAAAGATCTTAAATAGGCATTTCACAAAGAAGATATATACAATAACTAAACAGCACATACTTTATGCTCAGTATCATTCTCCAGGAAAATGAAAATCAACACCACAATGAGAGATTTCGTACTCACTAGGATAACTCTAATAAAAAGAATAGACAATAGCGAGGGGAAAATGTCGAGAAATATTCTATAGTGGAGATGTGAGAACTTACATAGCCATTTGGGAAACAGTCTTGCAATTCTTTGAAAATTTATACAGACAACTCCTCCATGACCCAGCAACCCAGCTGTAGGTATGAAGCACATACACAAAAGTTATGTCAAAAAAGCGAAAGTTACCCAAATCATCATAAAGTGTGTAATAGGTAAGTAAGATGTAGTTGATAGAACTGTGGAGGACCGGCAGCAGCTGAAAAGATAAGTATGAAATATAAATGACCTTTATTTTGAGAATGTGGGGAGAGACAACCCCGACCCCCTGGGGCATGGCATCTCCACCCTGGGGTTGGTGATCTCTCTGTGGAACACGTGTAGTGAGGCACATAAGTAGCCTCAGTTTCAGGTGTAACCTAAGGGGGCATTAAGGATACACAGGTAGCCCATTGGTCTTTGTTTGGCACCATAGGTAAATTCCTAAGGGTGGGGAAAATAGGAGCTCTTTGGCTTTACTGCTACAGTGTCCTGTCTGGACCAAAACCCTTTCAGTATGTATTCATGTAGTGGAATATTATGTAGCAGCAATAAGGAACGAAACATCAATATCTGCTCTAATGTGAATAAAATTTGAAACTATGCTGTGGAGGAAGCTACTAACACAAGACAATATAAATGACTTCATTCCTGTATGACAAGACATTATATGAAATGTTCATAACAAGCAAATCCATGGACAGAGAAAATAGATCAGTGGTTTTCAAAATCTGGTATATAATGGGGCATTGATAAGGGGTTGAATTCTTATGATATAATAAAAGCATTTTAAAACCTACTGTAATGATGGTTGCTCAACTCTGAATACACTAAAAACGAAATATTGTACACTTTATGTGGATGAGTGTTCTTGTAATCCACAAACGAGCCCCCTGGAGCCCCCCACCTCGAGTCCAAAAATGGGGGCAAGACATGTTTTTTTAAAAAGCAGTGCTGATTTATTTTATCCTGGGCCCAATGACACAGTGCAGTTGGAGTTTGCAAAAGCTGTGTGTCTCCCTCAAAACTTTCCAGACTTTTTGTAGAAAGCACAGTTTACAAAGTAAGGGATTATGGATGTGGATCAGGAAATCTGCTAAGGAATGAGGAAGACCTTTGTTTCCCTTAGCAGAGGACACAGAAGTCTAGCAGGAATTAACAATCCTTTGTCAACTTATTTGAGCACAACATCTGTTATTTGTAGAGGGCAGCAATGGTTAACATATCAGTAAGGTCAGTTTCCCAGGGACTTACAATTCTTTACAGAGGGGAGTATTGATTAACATATCAATTAGGTCACCCAGGAAAAAAGACGCACACAGAACAGTATGGCAGCTTTACAGGTACTTTGGTCATATAATTTAGGCATAACACAAACGTAACGAAGCTCTTTTTGCTAGTGTACAGCAGTGTTAGGCAGGCAAAATAAACCAGTGAAACTGGTAAAACATTTCAAAAGGGCTAGGGATTTTTAAGTGCCTGCCTAGCATGTACAAGATCATGAGTTAGATCCCCAGTATGACAGAGAGAGGGAGAGGGAGAGAGAGAGAGAGAGAGAGAGAGAGAGAGAGAGCCATTAAAAACTATATTACAAATCAAGGAACAAAGAAAGATGGACCATTGTCAAAGTCTGTGTGAGTGGCCCCCAAGCCTCATGAATTATGAGCTGGACCAAATCTAGCACTTGTGATTGGTTCATTGTCTAGTGCTTGGGTTGGTGGTGTGAGTGTTTCACCGGCCTGGAGGTGGAGCCAGGATGCGATGTGTGGCGGGAAGAAGGCCTGTCTCCCTCGGTTGCCGGTTTCTGCCTTGCTGTTTGCAGTGGCCATGAATGGCTGCCTTGCCATGCCACACTGCCTTGGAGCCACCTAAGTGTGGACTGAAACCTACAGAACTATGAGAAATAAACCTTCCCTTCCCTCCTTTGGGCGTTGGGGATTTTGTCTCAGCAATGAGTAAAAAGTAACAAAAACAACCTAAACTAACATTAATTTAAAAATTGGAGTTGCTCTATAAATTTCAAAAGAAAATAACTTCAGATTTATTAGAAACAAAAGAGCACTGCAGATGAATAAAAAGGTCTATTTTCAGGAGTTATACTAATTGTTAGTGTATAAGAATCTAACAACAGTGTCAAAATGTCTCAAACAAAAACTGGTAGACTGAAAGGAAAGAGTCAAATCTGCTGTGATATTTGGAGCCTTAAACACGACTCAGTAATTGATAGCTCAAGAAACAGAAACTAAAGGATATGTTTGCCCTAAACAACTTAATGCAATAGCCATTTATAGAATATTCCACCCGACATTAGCAGAACACACATTTTTCACAAGTCACATGGAAGACTCATAAAGAGAGACCTAGTTCTGGGCCATAAGGCACACTGTAGTCCATGGAAAAGAACAGAAGATATTAAGTGAAATGAATGGTACACATAAGCTTAAATACTGCAGTTTCTCTTATTTGAGAAACCCTAAATATAGATATCAAACTGAAAGATAGATCATGGAAATTGGGGAAACAGAG